ATCCTGTCAAAACAATAGCGCGCTTTTTTTATAAATGTGAAACTCAAATTTTTAAATTTTGAAAACAATAGGATAAGATGAAAATCAAAAGATATGTCAGTTTTCTTTTTGTCAATTCCATCTTCTCTGAAATCTTAACAAAGAATGAGGTAAAATAAAAACAAAACTATTAATGGTATGACAACAAACTCAGAACGAAAGAGGGCAATCCTCATCAAGAAAAAAGTTGTATGCTCAATAACCAAAATGAAAAACGAAGTTTCCTGTCAAAATTGCTCAAATATTTAATTCGTACCCGCATCACTTTTTTTTGTACACCTTTCACTCATTTTCATTGCCCCCCCCCCCTAGCCCTACCCTCTCTACTTTCCATCTTCAATCCAAAAAGAAATGAAAATTTATACACACACAGAGCTGATTTGTGGAAACGAAACTGTTTTTGGTAGATAATCGCACAATATGCATTTGATTACAATTCCACTATAAGACGGCATCCCGTAATGCGATACCACAGAAGATGGATGAATAGATGAATTGCCGAACAAGTTCAAGAAATCTTCTTGATTATCCCCTGCCCTCATACTCAGATACTGAGCTCTTTAAAGCTGATTGAAGTGTAAGTTATAAGTAAAAAGATGAAATCTTTTGCTCATATCTTTACAAAAAAATTGATACCGCTTAAGAAAAGCATACAAGGCTAAACTTTTATAAAGTTTTTTTTTGCGCGTATGCGTATTTTTGTTTTATTGTCCTACTCTTCTCCCTTCACATCATTGCCACATCTTTTCTTCTTCGAACCTCATAGATTCCCCCCCTGCAGCGAAACCGAAACTTAACACATATTAAAAAGTTACGCATTAATTTGCATTTAGGATTTCGGTATGAGAAAAGAAGAAAGACATCCCGCCTTAGGACGACACCGCAAAAACTTATTTAATATCACTTTCTGAGTGTATGTTAATTACGACTCGTCTCAACCTTGACCTCAAAACTGTTAGAGATATGTTGTCTACTCCTCCCTAAAACAATCCTCCTATTGCTTTCCACAGAAATATAAAACTTTTTTTTCTGTTTCATTTTTCAACAAGAAAAAAGCCGCATCAACTGTCCTTTCCCTTTTTGTTAAAGCAATTTAAACCGCTCATTTTGAAAAGGTATAAAGAAAAGTTCAAAAAGATAAACGAAAAAGGCGTTTTGAAACAAATAAAAACATTTAAAATATGTTTTGCACTGATACTAAACGGTAAAGCTTTAATCCATTTTTTTTTTTTTGATTACTCAGTTATCAATAAGTGCCAAGTTGTGCGCACTAACTTAGGTTAATTAATTAGCTTAAGGTAAAGCAGTTCCAATAATTATAATCAGAAAGAAGCCTTAGTCACAGACAGCGAATACCCTCACCTTTTCGTTTCTACACCCAGAAATATTTCAAACTTTTCGGATAGCCTCATCAGTCAAATTAAGTCGGAATAAGTTGAAACAAGTTGAAGATGATAGAGAAGAAAGGCTTTGCGGTAAAAAAAACCTCCAAAAAAATAAGCCATCAAGCTGTTCGACGAAATCACATAAAAGACATCATGTAACCTTGTTAAAAATCAAGACTAAAACAGATATCAGATGGAACACAGATAACGACACTTATAAGACATATTAACGATAATATGACCGTGATAATTCGAACCTTAATTGTTCTGTTATGACATCTAAATGTCGGCTCTATTATTATCCTCTTAAAAGTTTCAAATGGTGTAGAAATCTGGAGTTCCAAAGAATATTTCTCAAAAAAAAGAGGAAAGGAAAAGAAACCTGAATGGGATGAGGGTAAAAAGGCACTGGTGCCGGACGAATAGCAGTTGCCAATTCGTCACGTCTTAAAACTTCATCATTGGACATAAATTGTGATGCTGCTGGATCGTGTAAGGGTTTATTATCTGACTGAAAGTAACGGGTCTAATTTTATAGCAGTTGCCGTATCCACTATTACCCAAACTAATCAGTAATTTCAACAATATATTAAACAACAGATACGCAAAAAGATCAGGAAAAACTACCGCAATTAACATTTTGATTTCAAATAAAGAAAAATCATTTACATTTAATGTACTTAAAAGAAACATGCGACAACAATAAAAAATTATCATTAAAAAACCAGAGAGAAAATAAAGTAAATCTTGTTTTTGAAGATCAACTAATATACAATATTTTTTGAACTGTTACTTACAGTGGGAACGTATGAAGGAGGAATGTAAGTTGGAGCCCATGGAGCAGTTGGATGTGCGTACATCGTTGGAGGTACTGGCGGAACAACCGAAGATACTGTACTTGATGGATCAGCATCATACATCTAAAAATATGCTGTGATTAAAAAATCAACAGACACAGAAGAACAGTTGTTTAGAAAGAGTATGACAAATGAAAACAAGCAGTTAAACTCAAAAAAGAAATTAGAGTTCACTATACTTTTCCTATTTCAACAACATCGCCACCAGCGGGAGCAGTTGAAGCTGGAACTGGTACTGGATATGCTGGCGAAGAAACTACTGACAACGACCTAGTGTATTCATCGTCGGCATTCGATGACATTGGTAACAGTCCGCTATTGTAACTTCAAAAAAAAAGTTATCAAGCTTCTAGGTAACGCATAATCAAGAAACTGTGTAGCTGATAAGCAAGTACACCTGTTACTACCAACCTAGAGGTCATGGTGGGTGCTTGAGGAAGAACATAAGGATTCGGCTGTAACGGAGTATTCCAATAGGGATTCATGTCATAACTAGCTGAAGGATGGCTCATCATGGAAGTATTATCCAACGGATAACCGCCACACCCGTTTTCCTCAGAGTACATCATTAGCTCCGATTTTTACACTCGGTTTTTACCGCTTAATTCTAAATTTAACGAGAAAAATTAAACCGCTAATTTAAAAAACGAATATAAACTATCGTTGGTAGCAGTTTGCGAAACTGTGAACAAAAAAAAAACACATACGCACAAAAAAAACCAAGCAGTATAGTCATGCAGTCCAGAAAAGTTTCAAAAAATATTAAAAATTTATAGTCACCTCAAATTCACCACGGTCTCTTTTTTTTTTTTTTGAATTATTGGATTAACAAAGTTATTGTTATAATTATTTCCCACATTATTTCCAGCGATCTTCCTTAAAGAATGTTCAATAAGCAAGGAAGATATGCGATCCATCCAATGAAGTAACACAAAAAAAATTCGTTAGCAAAAAAATTTTTTTAAAGAAATAATAAAAAAAAAAAAGGAAAAATTTTCTCGCCTGAAAAACCGCGTATGAGAAAAAAAAAAAAAAGAGGAAGGAAAGCACTCAGATGGCCTTTTAAATTGGATAAACAATGCAAACGTTTTCCATCAAAACAGATATACGCACAGCAAAAAGAAACTAACAGTTCAGTGTCGGTCAGAATTAAACAGTTTCAGAGCACAAAAAATTTGACCAAAGAGACACAAGAAAAATACGAAAAAAAACAATTTTGAAATAACAAAAGGAGATTTCCAACTGTATTTGATCCAGAATAATCAATTTCAAATAAGTTAAAAAAGCTGCACAGTATGGAAGATACAAAAAGGGTAATTTATTTATAAATGTAAGCAAAAAATCGTTGCCTTAATTGGGCAGTCATTAGATAACGTTAAATTTGAGATACCGAAACAATTAATTGTGGCACCAGAAAGCTGAAATAAAATGTTTCATCGCTTTACATCTGATCACTCCATTTATTCACCGAATAAATGAATCACTAGATAAATGCCAAATTTTTTTTCTCTCTCTTTCACTATTTTTTTAGTGATAAAAAATAGAAGAAAAAATTAGTTGCTAAATTTCTGAAAGAAGAAGAAGAAAAAAAAAAGAAAGTAAAAGAAAAAAATTCTTTGCTTATTTCTTTTTTTCAGAATTGTAAAATGTTTGTTGATTGGCGTCGTCCGTATAGCCAACCAAACATAAGAAAGCGAATAACCAACGTAATTCCTTGTATGTGTTTACAGTAAAAGGAAAACCAAACAAAACATGAGGCATACCAACTAACATACATACATATAAACAAACTCCTACTATTCTTCGTTCACAAATTAACAGCAACAAAACATAATAAAAATAGAAAAAAAAAAACATCCCTACATCTTAAAAAACCAAAAAAAAAAAATCTTAAAATGCAAATTTTTGATGAGATAAACCACCGGATTTACTGTTAACTTGAAAATTTGCAGCAGAATCATTTCAACACCTAGCCTCTTCACAGTTATTTGCGGTGAACAAAACGTATACAGGTAATCAAAAAGAAGAAAACAAGAATTTGAAAGTTGAAACATGAACTAGGTGATAAATCGTGTAGCTGGATAACGACAATAGTACGAATTTAACAGTTCAACAACAACAACAACAACAACAACAACAGAGTTAGATCAACGTCATTTTTTGCTTTATTCTCAGTTTAAAACCTTACCGAAAAAAATAACGCTTCCTGGGTTAATATCAAAATTTTATTTATAAAATTGAAAACAGCCATCTCAAATAAGCTAAAATTAAAAACCGTGAAAAGAAAGAAAAAAATCAGTAAATAGCATAACAGAATTGCCAGATTCAAGCATACAGCAGCACAAATACGAATGCATTCATTTTATGCTTTCTTTTTGCTATTTGATATTAGAAACTGTAGAAATTACTGGTTTCTGGGGCCACTGGCTGGTTTACTTCATCGGCTAATCAACGCCAATCTACTGTGCCGATACATAAGAGATAGGAGGCGGAGCTCATGCACCTTACCGCCCCGTCGTCCGATACGGGGCCTACCATGGGACGTTGGTGAGAGCAGTGGATGAAAACTTAGCTAAACATCTATGTATCCAGACAGCAAAAATTTTGCTGATCAATCGCTAGAATCATCATTATGGTACCGGAAATTTCGGTTCTTTTTGAAGCTTTCTGTACATCAAAACACTGTGAAAATTGCTCGTTTTATCACTGTCGAAAATTGGGCAATCATCACCGTCATCAAAAACTGAGCATCTTACTTTTTATTTTATTTATTTGACTTTTCAATGTTCCTCTAAAACATATCAAAATTTTACGTAAATATCAAAAACAAGAATACCCTATAAAACTGTGTAAAAATAAAAATTAGTATACCAAAAAAAAAAAGCGACAAGCAGTTTAATCGATTAACGACTGCTAATCAGTTCGATCAAATCACTGTGACAGTATTTAATTAACTATTAAATATGACAATAGGAAACTATAAAAAAAAAAAAACAAAAAAAAATTTTTTTCAGGAAAAAGTTTTAAAGAATGGTGTATGATGCATAGTTAAGCAAAAAAGAATCAAATGTACGTTCTCGGTAGTGATTTCTGCAATTTTCCAAATTAATAACCAATATATTGTTAGTATCAAAATTCAAACGTTATAACAACTGATAAATGTATCAATAAGCTAAATATTTTGTATTTATTAAAGTTACAGATTTGTTTCGACAATTTTTTGACAACATTATCGATGTATTATTTGTACATATTATTACTGCAATTTCCCCTTTTTTTCCGCTATTACTCCATTTAACACTTTTGTGTTCCTTCCCTAAACAATTCTTAAGTTTCAGAGCCATTTTCAGGTTTCAAGCGACAAACGTTTTTTTTTTTTTTTT